CCCCGTGTCGTCACACCCCCGCTCGTTCACGGGCCAATGAGAGCAGCCCCCCCAGCTGCTCCTCCAATCGCTGCGCGCCGCTGTCGTTGTGGATCGTCCAGTCGAAAGCCACGCCCCCGTCCAGCCCACACTCCGACTCCGCGTCGTCGACGCCTGGGGGGGAGAGGGACGTGAGGGGGGGCCCGGGACAGGGAGGAAGAGGAGGCGGAGGAGGAGGAGGGTGAACTACCTGCGGTGAACTGCCAGCCCCTCTCTCTCCGGGTCTGTTCTGCCGCCTCCACGCGCACCGTCCGGCACCGATCAGGATAGCGGCTCCAGAACCACTGCAGGTCCGACCGGCGCCGGGTGTCGCTCACGATCTGCAGGTCAGACAGACATCTGAGCGAGCGGTCAGGCCGATTCTCCTGCTCACACACCGACACACTGGGACACACCCTGAGACACTGGGACACTGAGCTGCACCCTGAGACACTGAGACACTGGGCTGCACCCTAAAACACTGAGACACTGGGCTGCACCCTGAGACACTGGGACACTGGGACCCCGAGACACTGGGACACCCGGCTGCACCCCGAGACACTGGCACACTGAGCTGCACCCCGAGACACTGGGCTGGACATAGAGCTGCACCCTGAGACCCTGAGATTCCGAGACCCCAAGTCACTGGGACACTGGACTGCACCCTGAGACCCTGGGACACCCAGCTGCACCCCGAGACCCCGAGACACTGGGCTGCACCCCGAGACCCCGAGACACTGGGACACTGGACTGCACCCTGAGACCCCGAGACACTGGGCTGCACCCTGAGACACTGGGACCCTGGGACCCCGAGACACTGGACTGCACCCCGAGACACCGGGACCCTGGGACCCCGAGACACTGGACTGCACCCCGAGACACCGAGCTGCACCCCAAGACACTGGGACACTGAGCTGCACCCCGAGACACTGGGCAGCACCCTGAGACACTGGGACACTGAGCTGCACCCCGAGACACTGGGCAGCACCCCGAGACACTGGGACACTGAGCTTCACCCCGAGACACTGGGACACTGGGCAGCACCCTGAGACACTGGGACACTGAGCTGCACCCCGAGACACTGGGCAGCACCCTGAGACACTGGGACACTGAGCTGC